AATAAAAAAGTGGTTCAACTACTCTGGAAGACAATTTGGCAGTTTCTCACAAAACTAGACATATCCTTTCCCCATATGATCCAGCGGTTAGGCTCCTTGGTATTGACCCACATGACCTGAAGACTTACCTCCACACAAACACACCAACACGGTTGATGATAGGAATTTTGTTTATACTGCAGGAGCTGAGGAGCAAGCGAGATGTCCTTCAGCAGGCGAATGGASAAACACATTGTGGTGTCTCCGGAGAGTGAGATATTGTCCAGTGCTGAAAGTGATGTGCCATCAAGCCACGAGAGGACACGCAGGAAGCTTGAGCACTTTTTACTAAGTGGAAGGAGCCAATCTGAAAAGCCCACATGATTCCAACCCCTGACATTCTGGGAAAGATGAAACTCTGGGACAATGAAAGGACTGGCCAAGGACTAGGAGGGAGAGAGGTCTAAGCAAGCACAGAGGATCTTTTGGGCAGCAAAACTGGTCCTTGGGATTCTGTGACACTGGGTACACATCACTGTGCCTTTGTCAGATCTTASAATGTGCCACACCAAGCCCGAACCCTGGAGTAACCGAGGACCTCGGGTRGTGATGACGTAGTAATGTAGGGTCACTGATGGTGACAAATGCGCCCTGTGGTAGGGCTGTCGAGCAGGGGGCCAGCAGGAGGGCCTGTGGGCATACCCATTCTGCTCGATTTTCCTGTGAATCTAAAACTGCTCTGAAAAATAGAGTTTTTAATTAAAAACAAAACAAAACACAACAACCAAATGTGACTTTTTCTCATGGTGTGTAACACCCATAGTGCAGGGAATTACTGGTGCTGTTAAAGTGGATTAAAAACGGAGACCCGGTCCAATGACTCTCTGAGCAGACAAAACCAGCGTCTCGACCCTGCTTGGTGACAAACATGAGCACATCCTAACCTGGACTGTTTCTTGTCATCGCTTCTATTACAGAAAATCAAAACTTCAACTTCACCAGTCAGAAGCTGCTAACTAGACTATGCACCTAGGGACCTCTAGTGACCTAGGCCAACGAGGGCAGCTACAGAACTGCAACCCATGAGACGTTTCTGCATCCACCTTATACAGGTCATCCCCTTGGGCTCCTTTCATGGATGGCCGTTTGCTCAATCAATCCAAAACATTTATTGTGCTGTGGTTTACCTTTTAACATTGCTAAAGATGATTAGGGCCGGGAAGGTAGTGAGCCCTCCCTGGCATGTTCTAAGTCTCAAATAAAGGGAGCGGATGGAGAGGACCATGCCCCTAAATTCTGCCCTTTCCTCCCTGAACTTCAATTTCCTTATCTGGAAAATGGTATCATCGATCCCGGAGGAAGGTTGTGAGAATTAGAGATGACATGTAAGTAAGGCACCTAGGAGGAGCTCAGAGGGGTCAGCCCCTGACCTCTGTCCCTTTCCCTCAAAGATCAAAGGAAGAAGTCCTCATGGGGTGGAGAGTCAGGGAAGGCTTAGGGGCCTGGGCCTTGGGTGTGGGCCAGTGTGGACAGAGGCTCCATTTCTGTACCTGCAAAATGGTGCCATCAATGCCTACCCTCAAGCGACTATGAGGATTCGGGGTCAGTAAGTGCCAGGCACGGTGTGGAGGACTGTCCTCCTATGGCCTCCGGTATCCCCACGACCTTATGAAGGAGGGATTCTATTTTTACCCTGTTCTCTCAGCTAAGGAACAGAGGTTGCCCTAAGTCCTAATGGCCTCTGAGGAGGGTGGCAGGAGAAGCCAGCAGGTCCCATGATGACAGTGCCATGTAACCCCCCACCGAGCTTCTGGTGATCCCCAGCACCCGTGGGAACCCATAGTGGTCACTTCCCCATCTCTTGGTGCACCCTCCAAGCCAGTGTGGGCCCTGTGGCGGCAGATCTGTGGGACCTGTGTCACCCCCATGTCCTGTCTCTTTCAGCTGCCAATGGAGTGGGAACTGACCCTGCCCTGGGCTAAGGGCTCTGAGGACCATGGCAGCCCGCTGTCACCCTCTCCTGCTCCCCAGGGACTGTGGCTTCCGATGGGTACAGTGGCTCCAGCCTGCTGTTCAGAGCAACTGCTGCCTGTGCGTGTGCTGTGCTTCTGTCGGACTCCCGCCAAACGCTGAGCCGCACCAGGTATAATTCCTCCCAATCTTATCACTCGTGGGTCAGGAGGTTCTTAAAATATCTTGAGAGGATGAATTAAAAATAGTAAGAGTGGTGGTGACCCAGGTCAACAGAAATGTCCCAAAGTGTCGGTGTTTTCTCCCTTACGCAGTGACTGTGGGTGCTTGTCCTGGTCGTGGGGTGGGAGGTGCCGACTCTGGGGTCCTTCCCGGGATCAGAGGGGCTCGGGCCATCAGTATTCAGTGGCCAGGGTCCTGGTCAGTGACTCAGATGGCAGCGGCCTGCGGTGGAGTACTCATCACCCTTACCAGACATGGCACCTGGGGGAGCCACTGACCGGGACTGGTGAAGGGAGGGTGATCCTGGGCTTGCATCAAYGAGAACACGCCAGGCCCCGTCCCTTGATCTTCCCTTGCCTGCTCACAGCGTCCCTCGGGTCTTGTCAGGGCCTCCAGGGGAGGAAAMGAGGAGGAGGAGCCCAGGAAAGCAGAGAAGGCCTCTGGGAAGGGGGYKGTCTTGGGCTGGTGCTGCTGGGGYCCCAGGAGGCCTCAGGGCTGCAGAGACATGGGGACGAGTCCGGGAAGTTGAGGGGAGCCCAGCCCATCCCTGGGCGCACCCTCCACACCTAGGCTCCCCTCACCGCCCTGGCTCCTCCGAGGGCCTCGCATCTCAGGCCAGTGAGCTCAGAGGCACTACTCTGAAGTTCCTCCCCTGGGTCGCCTGCAGGCCCTCTCCCCTTGGCCATTTCCTGGTGGAGGCCTCTGCCCGCTCCCTGGCTCAGAAACCGTCCTTGCTCTGCGCCTCCCTCCCACTGTTGGGAACAGGCTGGTGGAGAAGCCGCAGGCAGCAGCGGAGAGGAGGAGCGCTCCAAGCTCTATCTACAGCCATGGGCCCGAGGAGATCAGAGCGCCCTTCCCTGGTTTTCCACCACGACTGTAGGCTATCTAGCGTCGTAAATTTGCTAGTCTAAACGATACATAGTTGTGCACAGGTTTCAAGAGGGAAGTGGAGTGTGATAAGGGGAAGAACTGGTTCCTATTACAAGGCCTTCCATAAATCTCTAGCTTTGGGCCTGGAGCCTCCAGAGGGGCGTTCACACTTCAAAGGGAAGTAGTTAGATCCTGAAGGGAGGGATGGAAAAGGAGGAACCTGCGGTGCTAACCAAGTTTCCAGACGGAGCTCTCTAGAAAGGGGAGGAACTCCCCCTTTCCCCAGCACTAATTCTCAAGACGGTGTCCTAGTTTACTTGGCGTCCAGGTCGCGTCAGTTACCACTGCACCACCCCCTGCAGGCGGCCTGCATCCAGGAAGGGCTGGGATGAGCTTGGGGCGCCTGTCTCTGCAGTCCCCTGGCCTGCTTTGCGACTTTCTGGCTTTGTGACCCAAGACCAGCCCTTTCCACTTCTGTTTTCTCCTTAGAGGGGTGCTGCCACCCTGGTCAGGCAGCTCCAGGGCCAGCACGGCTCCCCATGTGTCGAGGCTGTCACAGCTGGAGAGCGGGGGGTGACGCAGGCGGGCTGAGCTCCCTGGAGGCTGTGCGGTCACTGGGGAAGGGAGCTCGGCCAGGGCCCTGTGGGGCTTGAGGCGGTGGCCAGACCCAGCTCTCCTGACTCCAGACAGGCTGAGGCAGGACAAGGGACAGAGGAAGGGCTCTGTGAGGCTCTGGTGGCAAGCTGGGCAGAGCACAGCTGCCCGCACTCAGCCTGTGGGGTGGAGGGCCACCCCACACCTCTCCCCATCACCTTCCCCCTGGGAAAAGCCGGTGGATCTGAGCCTGATCCTGTCTTAGAGCTGTGACCTTGGGAGCTTCCTCAGTTTCTGAGTCTTGCTCCTGAGAGGATGGGCCCCAGGGCGCCTGGGTGGGACATGGCAAATCCCGGGTGCCCCGTGCTGGATGGGACTGAGGCCCTCCTCCGGTTTCCCCTCACCGAGGGGACAAAGGCGGGTGTCTTGAAGTCTGTACATCCGGGTTGTTTGTCAGCCAGTCCCCAGGTGGGAGAGGATTTGCAATTTAACACTCTGCTCTTTTGCTGAGCCTTGTGACTTGGCCAGGGCTCCGACCTGGTGTAAAGGGAAGCACCGCCTGCCGCGGCTCCAGTGTGGCTCCAGTGTGGCTCCAGTGTCGCCCGGGCAGCCTCCCTGCTCCTGAGCTGCTGTGGCTGAGGGCATTCCTCTCCTGACACGGGGCGAGAAGGGGGCTCGCTCCCCAGGGCCCAGCCATGGCAGACCAGGAGCCCCTCTGCAGCTCCAACTGGGAGGCCCCACAGGGCAAGAGCTCCCTGGACTCAGCGTGGTCATGGGTAAGGGCTGGCCCTGCGACCTTCTGCCAACAAGGCCTCTGCTCTCCTGCCCCGTGTCCCCCCTCAGCTCCTGGGCACCGATGGGGCCCTGGGGTCGTGCTCCCAGAGGGGTCTCGTTCAGGACGTCCTGCACTCCTGTTCTCTAGATAGATGTCGTGAATGCTGGCTTGCTCCGTGGGGCTCCTGTTCAGAGGCTGCGTTATGGGTTGGGGTTAGCACATATTCAAGAATTCAAGGCTGTGCTCTTTCCTTGGGTGGGAGATGCACAGTGGCTGCTCTGATCCTGGGTGTCCTCAGGGCTTCCACCTCATCCGAGAGGGGAGATGGGGGCGTGGGGGTGACTCCACCCTCTTATCCTTGCCAATAGCACGCGTGCTGTGTGTGCCTGGGCTCGCTGTTTCACACAGCCTGGTTTGGACCTTGTCCTAGATGCCAGGAAAGGGAGAAGTTTGTTCAAAGGCAGTTATTTTCACGGAGAGCCCTGAAGCAGGCTCCCGAGGGTGTTCAGATAACCCCRCGTGGCATGAGGACCGAGGGCACAACCTGGGCTGGAATTCAGGGCCTGGCTGGTTCTCCAAAGGCCAGAGGGTTTGGCTGCAGCGAGGATGTGTGGAACTCCCTGGCCTGGGTCCGCATTCTGGACGCCTCCATGTCACCCTGCTGTGGTCTCAGCTGCAAAAGGCTGGGCCAGCATGGAGGGAGGGCTCCGTGTGTTGGGGAGCAGTGAGCACCGGGCTCTGCATCCTACAGAAGTAAAACCTGGCTGCAGCCACTCTGGAGTATTTGTTGCCTGACACTTTGCTCAGCTCTGTCCCCCGGGGCAGCATCTTTCCCACAGGGGCAGGAAGCCTTGCTGGGGGTCACTCGGGGGCTCAGGCTGAAATGCAGAGAGGGAGCTGGAGGAGGTGAGGGTCCTGGATTCTGCTCCTGGTTCTACCCCACTGGCCACTTGGCCCCTTGGGCAGGTATTCCCTGCATGGACCAGATGTTTGCAGAAGTGTCACCTTGGGTTCATGGCTGGCCTCCCTCTGAACACTGAAGACAGGAGTGGGACCTCCTTTGGGAGTTCTGTGCTGATGAATGACCTCCACACTCTGATTAAATAGACTTTTTGTCATTGGTCAGGAATAGAGTGGCTCTGTCGTGTTCCCATCCTGGAAGGTCTCTTAGCGGTTGTTCTTGCCTGGTGTCACTTAGACTCACACTCTGCCAAGTAGGTGGGTGGGGAGATTGTGGAAGATGTGGTGGGGACCCAGGCCTGCTGGTGCCCTGCACAGCCACATTCTTTCCTCCTGGGCATCCCCACAGGCTCTGTAACCTGAGGAAGCTCTGATTTAATATCAGTTTCCTTCTTTTTGATTATTAGTTATTTTTCATGATAATAAAAGCCTGGTTCATATAGAACATCTAGCACATAAGGGGAGGTGTAAATAAGATGAAGAAGTGTGAGTCTTTCCRCTGCACAGGGAGCCTGGGAGCTTTGTAAGCAGAGGTCATGCTTCATTCCTTAAAGGCTGTTTATAATTAAGCCACAGAAAAGAGTTGAAACCCACCTCTTGTCCCCTTTTATTCCATATCTGCTCCCACCTGTGTGCTAGATAAGGCTCRCTGACTTAGGAAACTCTAAGACCCCAGGTAGAATCCTCAGCAGGGCCGTTGGCTGCTGCACTGTGGTCTGGATACTTCTGCTGACCACTTCTGTGCAGGAGGGGTCTGAACCTCCATGGCCTGGTGGGTGGTGGGGTCATAGGATTTGCCCTGCTTCTGCTGAGCACAGGCTCCCAAGAGGGTGGCAGCCCTGGTGTGGGGTGTGCAGGGGCCTGAGGCCCTTGGGCTTGGCTCAGGCTTGTATCAGCATCTGGAAGAATCTGACATGCTGCCATGGGCTGAAGCAAGGCGACTGGGAGCTCATGGGCAGCTCCAGTGAGATCAGTGGCCTTCCTTCACTGCAGGGTTCTCGGTTTGGSACTAGTCCTTGCAGGACAAGAGAGGGCCAGGCCCAGGGTCAGGCAGCAAAGCAGAGGAACTGGGACACAAATCAGGACACTAAGGCAGAYGCCCAAATGGAGTGATGGCCGAGCAGGGAGCTTTGGGGAGGCTGCAGGAGGTCTGGCGAGCAGGGTGGGACGGCAGGACCTGCAGCTGCCTTGGCCAGGAGCCCAGGTGTGGCTGGCCGGCTTCTGGGCYGGATAAAAGTGACTCAGCCACGGAGGGACTGGAAAGGGCAGCTGGCAGCAACGTGAGCCCTCAGAGGCACCTGCTACGTTGGCACCACCCACCTGCAGCTTTGGCTGGAGCCGTTTGCAGAGACTCTGGGCCATAGGCATTTCTGGACCCTGAATGTTTCCCGAGCCCAGTGAGGTGGGGAGATGGGTAAGCCTGGTCCTTCAAGAGGAGATCAGGCAGGAGGTGGGTAGGTGAGATGCCTCTGACCAGCCAGAGCACAGGTCAGGAACCATCCTCCCGGAAGGGCCAGAGGAGGCCCCTCTGAGAAGCTGGCCTGTGGGCCAGACCATGGAGGAGGGATCGGATTTCAATAACTGGGCAAAAGGGAATGGAGCCCTCTAGGCTGTGGGATGAACTTGCGCAGAGGCTGGATACAAGAGTACAGGGCGTTCCTCTAAAGTTAAGTGTGTTCTCAAGCCGCTGAAGATTTTATTTTTCCTTAGTTGGCACTTGTGTAGTGACACTTATCTTGGCTCGGGGCCCAGCCTATGAAAGATAGCAAGCAGTCACAGACCAAGTGAAGGCCAAGACCTCAGAGCCAGGGGCCTGGGCTGGCCCCCAGCTGAGCTGCTTGCAGGTTTTGGAATGATGGAGTGTCAGTTTTCATCTGGAAAAGGAGGGTTACATGTCGGCGGTGTGATCCTCACAGGTACTCCATAAATGGCTGCTGTCATTAACACTAGTGCTAAACCTAAGCAAAGGTGGTCTGTGCTTACAGGTGGGGCTGTAAATATCATGGTGGTGGACAGTCACATCCATTCACACTTGGACACTGTCACCAGGATGAAGGAGGACTGAGTTAGTCTTTGTCTASACATTTAGGGTGGCACTCAAGGCCTCTCGAAAACTGGCCACATACTGGCCCAGAGCTGTGCCTTCCTCAGAGGTGCTGAGCCTGTTGCCTTAGTTGAGTCTTGGGGAGGTGACTATCCAGCCCCCCAGATCTACCTCCACGCCCTGTGGGCTTCTTGGGCCCAGACCGACCAGAGCATGTTTGCTGTTTGGACTTCTTGGGCTCCACTGACCAGAGTCTAGACAGAGGCTGGGCGATGCTTTCTCGGGCTTCTTTCTCCAGGGACATCTGATGGTCTCTGATGGTGGCCAGGCATGGAGACATACTCAGGGAAATGATCCTCCTCTGTCCACAGCCTGAATGGCCTGAAGTGCCCTTGTTGGTTGCCCACCAAGGCCCTTCAGGCCACTGCCTCAGGGCTGCCTAAGAGCACCCACACCTGGGCAGGTATGAGGAGAGTGGAGGGCCAGAGAGAAGAACCGTGTGGAGAAATGGCTGGGGTGGGGGGTGGTTCATGGGAACAGCTAAGCTTCTTGACCTATTTGCTCCCCCTCCCAGCATCCAGGGCCCACTTTGAACAGCATCCAGGTGAGGTGGTGGCCTTGAGCTCCCTCTCCAGGTGGAACTCCGCTACTACACACATGAAAACCAACTGTTTTGTAAAAAGTCACATCACTAGTAAAACTACTAACAAGAAGTTAAGATGAACATCRTAACTTGGCCATGTAGGAGCACAGTTGGTCCCTGTGGGTGAGCAGCCAGGCCAGGCCTGCTTGGTGACTGACAGGTCACCTTCTGCATGCTGCTTGGACCCAGGTCTTGGATCTACTCTCTCAATTCCCCACAGCCTTCCCCCTCCTTCCAGGCCCAGTTCAAATGCCTGAGGCTTGAGGATCCTGTATTCCTGCCTGAATTTCCTTCATGTTTGACATGTTTCTCATGTACATAGATTTTGTTTTCCTTACAGAGTCAYAGTGCAGGGGACAAGCCCCTGGATGCTGCTTTTAGGTGACCCAGCTGCTGCTCCTCCCTTTTGCCCTGGGATGTTCTAGAACTTCTTTATCTCCCCCTCCACCCGCCCCCAACCTAAACTGTGAGCTCTGAGGGCAGAGAGGGTATCCCCACAGTGATGTCCCTGGAGCACTAGCATGCAGCTACCGGACTGCCTGGCCCACAGCAGACCCTTGTTGCTGGCATGTGCATCCTGTCCTGCCTGTTGGTGGGGTTTACGTGTGTTTTCCTGGTGGGTTATTTACAGCATCCCCTTCGGCTCTGGAAGGCCTGGAAGGGGTCCCCCTCCGCAGCACTCCCTCACTGTTCAGCTAAAGAGCCTGGTTTGGGGCCTCTCCCTCACCTGCCACACATTCCCACCTGGTCCTCTCTTACCAGCTACTTGGGGGTCCTTCTGGTTTCCCCTGCCTCTCTGGCCACACTAAAGGGGTCGTGTTTAAAGTCCTCTCTGAGAGACTCGATTTCCCTCCCTGTGACTGTGAGTCTCAAATGGCTCACGGAGTCAACGCACTTTATACATTGTGGTGCTCCCCACTAAGGTACTGAGACTGGTCAGTGTCGGCTCTGCCTCTCTCCAGGCCCTGTCGGGGTCTGAGAAAGAACACCTGGTCTGGAATTGAAGTCACTTCCAGGAAACTTAGCGCTACATGAAATAATGTAGACCATACAAATTACATCACATTGACTTCTGGGTTCTGATATTTTAAAATGTATGACGGACAGCTGGAGATGACATCCAGGTCAGGCATACTTAAAGTGAAAAGGATCAGACATTGAGAGATGAAGCCATCAAAAGGAGGCTTGGCGAGCTGGCCTTATGCAGCAGTAGGCCTGGGGCGGAACCCCAGCCAGGGAATGAGGGGCTAAGAGGGGGTGCTGAGGGAAGAGGCTGAGATGGCTTTGATCTGCAAAGTGACAGGCCTCCACTGCATTGTCCTTGACTCCTTCTGAACTCCTGATATGCAGTCAAGGTGACCAGACTTGCCCCAAGCCCAACCTCCCCTCTCCTCCCCTGCAGCAGGGCTGGTGTCTAACCTCAGTCCATTGTATACCCAGGGAGGGATGTGCGTCTGGTAAAACCCAGGCTTTGGAGCTCAGGGTCTCTGAATCAGATCCCAACTCTGCTACCTATAAACTGAGCTACCACCCTTTTCTAAGATGCCTTTTGCCTTTCTGAGCTCTGGATTCTTAATCTTTAAAATTGGACTGAAGAGATCTGCTAGACCAGCTTATGCTGAGGATAAATGAAGGGAGCTTGATTGAGTATTATTATTATTATTATTCTCTTAGGAAAATGCTTTCTAAGATTTTAGGAAAATTTTCTCATTAAAAAATATGTTAGAAGCGGCTGTGGGAAAAGCATATATTAATAGGAAATTCCACGTGAATGGTGGTTTGTGAGCTCTGGGCTGGCGTCACATCCACTTAGGCTGATCTGAGTGGAGCCCTGGATCCCAGCGGTTGCTGCAACTGGAGCCCCGCTGTRTCACTGCCAAGAATGATCCTGACGTAGGCAGATGCTGGTGGCACAGGACCAGTGGGGCTAATATCTCTTTGCCTCTCCCCTTCCCCAGGAATAACCAGAGTGACACAAAGCTGGATGGTTGTGGGGTGGGAGATGGGCCGGCCAAAGTTTCTGCTGATCCACAGTGAGACAAAACAAGACAATGCTGATGGTAGAYGTGTTGATGTGGCCCTGCCCCCTCAGACCTCCTGGGGGGTGCCTGAGAGGAGCACGTTCCATTTGCAGGGAGGTTAAAGTGTCTTTCTTTTATAAAATGATTATCACAGTAGATGTCTCCTTCCTCGCTTTCTTCCTTTTTAAGATTAAAGTTGACAGTTTCATGTCAGTTACCACCCACTCTCCCAAGATGACTAGATGATTGTCTTTGTATTGATTAATTCATATATGTTGGCTGGAAATACAACCATGGTCCCTAAATACAGAGTTTGAGAACACTGGATCTGGTGCCGCCCCTCATTTTACAGAGGGGGAGTCTGAGTCCCCCAGGGCTGCCTTTTCTCGGCACATCTASAGCAGCAAAGATTGGAAGTTCAGCTTCCTGACCTTCCATGGGAGGAGGGCACACGTTCAGATACCACTTTGCATTTAGATTTGGGACACTCGTGGTCTGGTGTTTCCAGAYGTTTCCCTAATCTCGCTCCTCAGCTTCCTCTGCAGGCCTCTGCGTATCCAACCCTTTTCTCCTCTCCTGGTTTGCCCCATCATTAGAGCAGCTGGACAGCGGCCCTGAAGCCCAGCTGGGGGTGGAGCCTCCAGCCTCCAACAAGTCCCCTGTGGAACCTGTGCCCTCTCCTGGGTTCAGGACCGGTGGCGGGTCTCAGCCRAGCAGGGCATCTGTGCAGGAGCAGGCGAGGGAAGGAGCCGCAGGTGAGTGCCCACGTCTGCCTGCACRTGCTGAGGTCCCTGACCCTGCTTTTGGCACTTGTCCTGTAATCATCCACAGCTGCTGGGCTGTCACGTTGGGAAGCCCTGCCCTGTGATGGGATGCTCCTGGAGAGGAAGAGCCAGAGTGTGGGTGGCCAGGAACAGTCTAGAGGTCACTCTGCAGTTAGGCCCCCTGGGTGAAATGGGAGAAGACTGGAGGGTTGGGACAGACAGACGCTGGGAAGGTGAAGGCCTGCAAGGTACCAGAGGACTTGGCCCAGGTGAGGTGTTCTGCCATACCTGAGGCCAGTGTGTGTTGTTGTCCTGTTGTCTGTGGTGGTTGTCCTGGTTTAAAGGCACAGGAAGGGTAGATGGCCAAGATCCAGACACTATGGGCAGGGCTTGCCCACCAGGAAGACCACCCACCCCACACTCATATCCAGGGGTCAGACGCTGTTCTTCTGCCACCCCTGGGAGAGGATCCATGAAGACATTCCTCATGGTGTTGGTGGCTGGACCAAGGACCTAGCTCATGGGTGGACATGGGTCCTTCATTAGGTAAGAGAACCCATTCTTGACTTKCCTCTTCAGCAGCTGCCCGAGGCAGAGTTTGAGTTGGTGCCCAGTTGCAGAATTATCCCGAGTCCAGATTTCAGGAATAGTTCTCTCCATACCCTCCCATCATCAAAAATCCTGTTCCATTTTTTGTCTTTTAATCTATTTTTGAACAAGTCTATTGCTTTTATTTTTCTTTTAAGCTGCTTGTAATACTTTCTGGATTTGATAAAATCTATAAGCAAATAGTATGCRAAAGTGTGGAATAAATACCTAATACCTTTTTAAGTTGGGAATGACAAGAAAGCAGGGCACTGTTGGGCACTGTGGGAATGTGAGCGCTGGGATTCTGGTCGGGGGTCTGCCGCTGGGGTGCAGGGAGGGGCAGAAAGACACGATACCTCCTATGGCAGAGAGAGCGAGGGGGCTTTGCCACGGAGATTGGGAGAGACAGACTCTTTAGCGGGCAGAATCCTATAGTAGGAGGGAAGGTAGAGAATGGGGGGCTGCTGGAGGTCTGGGCTGGAGCCATCACTGGTGTGGCTCTAGTGTGGCTGCTGTGAATCTAGGTAATGACACTTTCCCAACAGGGCGACCGTGGGTTCCACGAGTCTCTGCAGTTCCAGCCTCGGGGGTGCCCACTCAGGGTCTCCACGCTGCTGTCATTCATGGGAGGCATCAGTTGAGGCTGGCCTTTTCATGTAAGTGGCTTCTGATGGGCATCTTTATAAAAAGAGGTCACGGCAGGACTGCTGTTTGTGGATTGCATAGAGAGCCAGCCAAGGGGACGATTGTGCTTGAGTCACCAGGCCTGCTAGGCCCCGAGACTGAGGCTGGCTGCGACACACCAGAAGAAAGAGCACCTTGTTGACATCTGTGCACCTGGAGATGTCTTCTTTTTTTTTTTTTTTAATGGGGTCAGTCGGCCAGCAGTGGCCCAGGAAGCTAAGTCCAACCATGACTTCAACACCCGCATCCCCCAACATGGAGCCTCCTTATAAAGGGAAATACCCACAATCCTCTCTCTGTACATGGAGGAAAGTTGGGGTGACTCCTGCAGATTCAGGGATGGTGAGCTGGGCCCCCTGACAAAGCTCCCCTTTCATTCCCCACATCAACCCTGCTGCCCCCATGCCAACACCCGCCCTCCTCTGTCCAGTCACCCGGGCTCCATCTGCTCACTCCGGAAGCCCTGGAGGAGGCAATCTCCGAGGCTCCACCACGACATTCTGTAGTCAGAGGCCAGACTTCTTCTGGGAGCAACATGGAGTGACCGTCTCCAGACTTTAGGTGGCAGGACCAAGGCTTCCTGCTGGCCCTGCCGGAGGACCCTGTTTCCATTCCCGTTCAGATTCTGCAGGCCCTGCCTGTCCTCATTTAACCCCAAGAAGCACAGCTCTTGGACACAACTTAGGAGTCCCAGCTCCTGGCCCAGAAATACCTTCTAGAGGGCACTGTCACACCAGCGCCCAGGCAGGGCATGGTCTTCTCTCCCCAGGCAAGGGGTGGGAGTGTGGACAAATGAAAAAACGACTTAATACACAAAACATTTCCAGGCAACAAAAATTCTTAAGTGATTTTTTTGGGGTCCAGGCGGGAGTGGGGGGGGGAATCTAATAATTTTTTTTTTATCTACAAGTAAGGTGATTTGAATATCAAAGTAATTAAAAAACAAAAAAGGATAGAGAAACTTGGCTAGTTGGCGTCTTCACCTGATTTGACCTGGCAGAATCTGAGTTATTAATAGCCTTCTGATAGACACTTTGCAGTTAATGGCGAAGCAAGATGGGATCAAGTTTCTCGTTTTTATCCAATTGGAAATGTCCAGCGGGTGAGAGAGGTCACCAGATAAAAAGAGAAGGAACAGTAAGTCTCATACACTGAACGTTGAGTCTGAATAGCCATCTTGTGAAACAGTACTTTTCCACATGAGTTATTCCCAACTTTTTGATAGTTCTAAGTACTTTCAAAATGATAAATGGTCAGGCTTATTCTTTTTGTCTACCAAATACCCTCTAGATGCCAGGCGCCTAAATAACTCTACATGCCATTTTCTACACTTGAGTCCCCACGCAGATGGATTATTTGCCCCAGTTTTACCCACAGAGGAGCTTAGGGAGGGTTATGAACTGGGTTGAGCTCTCACATCTAGCAGAGAAGCCCTAATTCCCTGGGCCTCCCGCTTCCAATGACCCTGTTCTCTCCACTGGAAATGACGAGTCCCTATTTCTCTTTGGACAGCTTCTGTAGGATTGAACTTGAACCTTCACAGAAGGTGGTCCTCCCAGCAGTGATTAAAGATCTGGTTCTCCAGCGGGTACCATCTCACTGAAGTAACTGCCATTTTCTGGCCGATCCCAGCCTTCAGTGCCTCTTCTTGGGGGTGATGGGTGTAAGGAGGGTCAGAGAAGTAGCACGAGAGGTGCTTTCCTCCTGGGACCTCGTCTTTGGAAACTTTCTGTGTGAAAGAAGACCTGATGGCATATGGGAGCTTCCAGTGTGTTGACCCTGGAAGAAGCCGTCTTGTCGAAGGTCTCCAAGGTCTGTCTGTCTTCTCCAGACATGAGGCCATCTTCCATCACTCTTGGTCCTGAACATCAGAATCGCTTACAGAGCTTCCGAATAATACAGGAGCAGAATGTTGGGGGTTGGGCCCGAGGCATCTCTGTTTTCTTACAAACTCCATTGGGTCAGGGCTGAAAAGATGATTCTCATCACACTCAAGTTTTCATCCAAAGATCCMTCATGCCGGTGCCTCTTTCCCAGGAGTCCCTGCCACCTGAGTCCAGTGAGTTCTCTCGCGTCCTTCATGCCATGCCACTTTTCTTTGGGAACCTTCTCTTTTACCCTTGGAGGCCACATGGATTCACCTTTGTCTTGCCTATTATAATTGCGTCATCTGTCCTAGCCCTTCACTATCGTGTGGGAGACTGTGCAGTGTTKGTTTCCCTACCGGATTGAGGGCGAAAGCCCGGCCTGTGTGTCTTGGTTTCCCAGCCCCAAACGGCATCTGGTTAGAGACAGRGGAGCAGTAAATGCAAGCGGGACGTTGAGCAGCTTGTCCGGAGCTGGCCTGGCCTCATTAGGAACAGAATGTGCCTTTTTTGCAATCCAGCCTTGATCCTATTTAGATTCCCTGGTGCTTCCCAGAATCAGTCTTGTGTGGGTGTGTGTGCACATATCGTGTGTGTACGTGTGTGACTGCTCTCCTAGGATAAGCAGAAAATGTTCATGATTTTTTCTTCTCCAGGTTTACCATGCCCAGCCCCTTCTACCGGCTCTTTGTCACAGAGGCGTGGTTTCTGGTTCTAGTACCATCCCCCTTGTACTCTTCCAGTGTTAAAAGTTTTGTGTGACCTGTGCACAGGACAGTGGCCACTAGTGTCCTCGAGGTGGATCTCAGACGTCTCTTACTACTTCCTAAGACAAAAGCTTTCTAGTTTCTTCACATAACTGCTGCAAGCGAAGGCTGTCCCACTTAGAAGTTATACAATCGACTTTTTGAGCCTTGCTKCATGTCTTAAATATCATCTTGTTGSCTTTCGATCTGTCAAAATCCTTTGRTCTTGATCCTGTCATTCTGCATCTCAATTTCTAAATATACGAAATTCCTAAATATACGACCAGCTTGCTTTTCTTTCCTGCCTTCTGTTGAGAATCAGGTGTATTTCCCTTCCCTCTTCTCTTTTTCCTCAGTGGCTTCCCTGAYGATAGATTGAATTTCTTTCCTTTCAGTGGTTCTCTTCAACTTCAAAAACATGCCCCTAAAACATGGTCTAATGCAGTAAGAATTATTTATGATCTCTATTCTGCCGAACGGGACTTAGGCCTTAGCTATTCAGCAGCKTTGGATATGCTCCCATCTTGTTACTACTGTCCAGAGTTTTAGTTTTTGTTTAAAAGGAAATCTAAAGACCTTTGTTGATATTTTCCAATAGAAGCCTATTTTACTCAAATGCCCAATGCCCCGTGTACATTGTCTGTGATTCACYGCTGTTCCTTGCACCCCACACCTTCCAGCTGGCTGATGGTTCTTTTTGCTGGGAACATCATTTGAAGCTTCCTTTAGGGAGGGGATATAGGGCAGTATCTTTGTATATTAGAAAATGTCTTTTGCACTTTCTTTTTCTTGAATTGTCGTTTAGCTGAGTATAAAATTTTAGGTTGCCAGTTTTATTTATTTACACACACACACACATAATTAGTTTTCTGGGAGACATTAAAATTTTATCCTTTGCCTTGTATGCTCTGCTATTTTACTATAATGTAAATAGATGTGGATTTATTTTTATTTATCCAGTGCTTTGAATTTACTTGTATGAACCATTCAGGTCTTTTATCCATTCTGGAGGATTCCTGAGCATCTCTTTAAAGCTCTTTGGCTTACATAATTCTTTCTCTGGAAGGCTTGGRCACAAATTTTGAATGCTCTCTGGATCTTTCATGTC